CATGTCCCACTCTGTAAACCCAATTTATGGAGAAAAAAAATTGAGTTTCATTGTATGACTGTAATTTATTATATATGTTTGCTACACAATGAAACTATTGGTGATCTATTGGTCGTCTACAAATGAATCTGGAGTTTCTTTGTTGGAATGGATTTTCCATGGTAAGTACAGTTCAACTTGCTTTTATTTGTCCAGATCATTCTGTTGTGCACAGATGAGAACAGTTCTTTATTTGTCCAGCTCATTATGTGTTGCACAGATGAAAACAGTTCTTTATTTGTCCAGCTCATTATGTGTTGCACAGATGAAAACAGTTCTTTTTTTGTCCAGCTCATTATGTGTTGCACAGATGAGAACAGTTCTTTATTTGTCCAGATCATGATGTGTTGCACAGATGAGAACAGTTCTTTATTTGTCCAGCTCATTATGTGTTGCACAGATGAGAACAGTTCTTTCACTGCATAATATATGTAATTCTCAAGTAGATCCAACAGGAGGCGGTATAGGATCAGGTTTCATATGGAAAGGGGTGAGGGAAGGGAAAGGAGATACCTAGTCAGTTGTACAACTGAATGTATTCAACCGAAATCTGTCTTCCGCATTTAACCCAACCCCTCTGAATCAGAGCGGCTTGGGAAAAGTAATAATATGGGTGGACCTTTCTCTTCTCATCCTTGAACTTGTTTTTTTTTTGTCTCTCTCCCTCTATCTTTCTCTATCCCTCTCTCACATTCACATGCATAATAGACTCAGTATAACTCAGGAAATAGTGAAACTCATTAAGTAGTGTTGATGGGTCCAGCCTGTTTGGCAGTGGAAACGAGCAAGAGAATGAAGGGACAACCAGATTACAAATGTCCGACACAGTTGGGTGCTGATGCCTTGCATTTAGCAAAGAAAACAAGTCACTTGTACAGAACGTTCACCATTTAATCTACGACAGTCTTATCTCAAAAGACCTGCTTGTTGGATTGTCTCTCAATAGATGTTGGTTTTCCGAGGCCTGCCTGACTATGTAAAGCTGTGAACTGGTAAATAGAGCCAGTGAAAGCACTGTTTAAACTGGGATAGAATGGTGATGTCAGTGATGTCTTCAGAGCTTATTTATGTTTCCCATGTTCCTTTAAAACCAAAGCCAAACACCCTCACAGAGGAAGTGTCCTGTGGTGCCAGTCACTCACATGCCCCCCCGCTGTCCAGACTCCGATCCGGTTCCACCCCCAGCCGTGACAATGACAGGACAGTGTCAGAGCGGACTGGGCCGGTTCTGTGTTCTGCTGACAAAAGGGACACATGGAGACTGAGAGGTCCAGAACCTCTGCCCCCTCTGGGAACTGGGCCCAGGGTTCTCTGCAGGGTTCTAACCCCGGGAATGCGGAGCTCTGGACCCCCAGAACCGGTTCTGTTTGCATTCTCCAGCGTTCCCGAGCTGGCTGCTAGGCTGTAGCCGTGACAACGTGTAGATAGTGGTGTGATCAGAGCCTGCTGAGCATAGAGGGAACAAGACAAACAGAGGGCCTTAACACTGTCAGTACACACATGAGGGGAGGCTGAGCACACACACACACACACACTCCCTCTGACTCCATATTTTTCTCCCTCTCGCTCTTCTCTATTTTCCTATCTCTCATCCTTTCTCTCTCACCGTCAATGAATAAATGGACATAAATTCCCAAAACACATTTGCATATGTTTAGGACTTTGAGTGAATGGACATATGCATCTGCATATAACTATGAATAAGACTTGCTTGTGTGTCCCAACAAAGATCCCTCTTTAATTTCATAGACAGCTTGTGTCATTGAACTTGTCTCAGTCACAAGCTCTCCCTTCACAGCTGAGAAGGAGCTTTACTGCGATACAGTGGGGATCTGTGGCGTTTCTAAACACAGATGGCACATTTTAAACACTGACTGCCTCTCAATGGTCTAAACCGTTTCCCTCTCCTCATCTCCTTTCCTTAATCTGCTCTGACGAGAAAGAGCTGGACAGGTGAAAGTACATTCACAGTGGGCACCCCACCATACTGCTTTCACCTGTCCTGTCCCATTAGACCATTCCATTTCAGAAGTCTGCACTGAAACCATGCTCTTCTTTCGTACCCTTGCTAATGTGGAAGCACTGATTAGATGAAAGCTTTATGGTGGATTCTCTACTCTGACCTATTGGAGAGCTAGGAGATACCCTCTCCATATTGTTGTCCACTCAAGTGCTTCCCAAGCTGTTTCTCACCCAGGCTGGTTCCTAACTGGCTAGAACCTGTTCACTTGGTGTGTCACCAAAACACTCCAGCTGCGTTATGTGGGTCACAGTTTCAATAAGTTGTGTCAACTGTGCCCTCCTTCTCCTGGCCTTCATTGCTGCGCTTTGGCACCTTAGCCTACTTCAAGAGTTACTTCAGCCTCACCTCGCTTCATCTTAGATGCAGATCAGGTTTGAAAACGTTGTCTGATGAGAAAAGTAAGCAGTCTGAGAGAGCGATAAGGCCTCTCATTTTAATGAACCTTCCCATTATGCAGCCTCAGACACTCAATGGTGGCTTGGTAGACAGAAGAGAATTTCACTTGCAGCAAAAAACTGAACGTCTGGCCCGAACAAACGATAGACCAGACCAAAAAAGGCCCCTCATCCGCCGTCATGGGAACCACAGGGGAACTGAAGGGTTTGGGAAAGTGCGGGTTGTTTTGGTTTCCTAGTGCCCCCTTTTCCCTCATTCTTCCCCCTCTCTTCTCGTCTCCCTCTCTTGGTTCTGTTTGGTGACTGCGAGGGGGACTTGAATGTGACGGTTGCTTGGCAACTCCCCCGGTGGTTGGCCATTGATATGCAGTGAGGGGACTAGGGCTGGGGAGAGGGCTAAGGAACAATGCTCTCCTTATGAGAGTCCCCCCCTCTCTCAGGCCCAGGCAGAACTAAGTGGGAGGACAAATATTTCAACTCAGGGAGGCGAGACGCAACACACCGGACAGGGGCGACCAGCCGGAGAATCCTCAGGGTCCCCTGTGCTGTTAGTGTGTGTGTGTGAGAGGGATGACGGATGAGTATATGTGTCTGTGAGAGAGAATGTGTGTGTGTACTTGTATGTGTATGCGTCCGTGTGTGGATGTGTGTGTGGGCAGACGTGGTGGTCTCTTTAAATTGACAGTGACTTGTTGTTCATGCTCTGATAGATGCATGCTTTCCCTCAGCCATGATTTATCTGCCAGTAAAAACAAGGCCACAGACACTGTCTCACTGTTTATTGGGTACAACTGAATAAAAAACATAAAAAAACATCCGATACTAAATACTACCTGAGATAAACTATGTTAGATTCAAATCAGACATAATTACAGTAAATTCACAATACAAGAGAATATATACCAATTCAAAGGAAAGCAATGGATTTATTTATCGTTTTTTACTACATTCATATGATTTGACTGATCTCTTTTTGAGGAGTGAAAATTTTCCAGATTGTACACATGTACACTGAAACATGTACTGAAATATTGTTCATTGGGTCCTGCAATCTGAGCAAGTCGAAAATCCAGTATTGTGTCACATGACAGTAAACCACAACATATATATCAGCATTATATCAGTCAGATTGTACTCTACACAGATTCACATTTTTTTTATATGGATTGGTTAGGTTCTATCTTGACTTACAGTATATCAACATATTGACACAAGAGCCATTGTGTGGACAAGCTGTTACATGAATAGCTTTTAATAATAATAATAATAATAATAGTGTTTATCTGTAGAATAGATGTGGTGTAAAATCTGGTCCCGTATCCACAAAGCATCTCAGAGTAGGAGTGCTGATCTAGGATCTGTCCATATAATAATATTCAAGTTTGATCCAAAAGGCAAAACTGATCCTAGAACAGCATTCCTACTCTGAGATAATTGGTGGATATGGGCCCTGAGCAATTTTAGTAGCTCTGCAGAAGATGCTCTGCAGCATGGTTTCGACAGGCAAAATGATGAGAAAACCCTGAGCTACACAACAAACAATACTGGAACAATTCTTAACACACCAGACCGTTGATTTGCGCCCACTGTCACATTCACAATGGCTCTGGAGAGATCCTAGAAGACTACACTGTAGTGGTTGTTAGTTACTTAGCTAATGACAAGGTCAATGAATATTTACACCACGTGTAAACAGTCTGTCACCAGTGGTAGTGGGTGTTATGACTGGTGTTTGACGGGTACCATTCTACCACATTCCTTCCCTTGTAGATCACTGTGAGATGGGGTGCAGGGGGTTAGAGGTGGGTTAGAGAGGGAACATTTACCCCACAGACACAGTCAGAGGATCCCTCAATGGCTCTTTCTGTTGTTAATCTACCCTAATAAAAACACAGGAAGTTAGAAAATACACCAAGAATCCAGACCATTATTCACAGCTAAGATAATTGTTTTCTTTTTTTGATAATTGAACGTCTTTGTTGTTCTTCTTCTTATTAAAAGAGAGTATAGAAACTAGTAAAAAAAAGTTTGAAAATTCATGGCAGTTGATTGAGCTCTCTCCTAGCTTTCAGCTGCACCACTACAATTGATATGTTGTCTCGTGTCATAATGGTTAAGTTATCTTCATAACTTATCTCACGGCTGGGAGGGATTGAAGTAAATGTAAATGTAAGACAACCAAAGCCCTAGCCAAGAGTTCATTAAGTAGTCATAACCACAATTCTCTCAAAACCAATTACCTTAAACTCATAAAAAGTTGGCTTTAAGCAGGAAGTCGCCCCCCTGTGCATGATGATCTCAACAGTGCTAAGTCTACCTTTAATCTCAATAGTCTTCTTGGTAAAATAAAGGTAAAATAAGTCACTCTCTAAAGACCCAGCATCATAGAGATCCTTTATCTTCATGCAGTTCAATGCCCAGCACAGCCAGCATGGGCTGAGAGAGGTTGGGGTAAGAGAGCTGAAGGTCTGATGGTCTAAGGGTAGCTTGGTCGCTTTGTGCCCCAATGAGGTGACTCCAGGCTAGTCAGGGAGAGGATCTCAGCAGGGTGTTCCGATGACCATGAGAGAGGAGCTGTCTTTGGCCTTGTCGTAGAAGATGGCTGGTGTAGTCCCAGACACAATCTTCAGCTTCTCCTCCTTGGTGTTGGACGGCGAGGGTGATGACGGGGAGGAGAGGGAGGAGGAGACCGCTGTGGCGGTAGTGGAGGAAGTAGATGATGAAGATGCTCCGTCTGGCAGACACTCCTCACAGCAGCAACAGCAACAGTCCATGAAGGCCTGGCCCAGGGAACGACACAGACACAGGAACAACACCGGTGTCGCCGAGCAACGGACGAACAACAGGAACTGGCCAATCAGAGCCAGCAGGGCCTCGGTCGTCGTGGAGACGGGGTTGGCGATGTAGGCCAGGGCGATGTTACACACGTTCTCGGGGAGGTTACACACGGCGTAAACGATGGCCAACGCCACGACTGTAGAACTCAACCTACGCTCTCTCTTCAGCTGCTGCTGCTTCTTAGGAGCGGAATAGGATGATGATGAAGAGGAGGTGGAGGAAGAGGAAGGACGTACTCTTTTTCCTCCTACTGCTGTGGTTGTCCCCTGTTTCTTCCGTGCCTCTTCAGCGACAACGTGTCTCGTCACCAGCTGGCAGGCGAGGGTGAAGAGGAGCGGCAGGCAGAAGTAGCAGCCGAAGTACCACCACATGCGGGCCTCGTGGTACGTCAGCACCAGGGAGTAGACCGACTCAGGCAGGCTGAGGGAGGGCCTCCGGACACACAGGTCCACCACGAAGCCCCCTGGCTGGACGGAGACCTCTTGGGTGAGCTGCCACAGCAACAGCTCTGGAGCAGCCAGGACCATGGAGCCGATCCAGACCACAGACAGCTTGGCCAGGATGGACTGGCAGGGCTCCACCCGCGGAGCCTGGGGCTGGGGGCTGGTCGCTGCGTGGAACCGGTCGATGGTCAACGCACACAGGCTGAACGTGGCTACTCCCAGGGAGGTCACCTGGAGGGAGAGGGGTAGGAGAATGAGAGAGGGAGAAATAAGGAAGAAGAGGGGGGAAAGATGTAGAGAGGGAGGCGAAACAGAAAGACAAAGTGAAGATGGGAGAGAGGGGTGAGGGCAAAGAAGGAGAGAAGAAGACAGTGGAAAGGAGAGAGGGAGAGTGAATGGGACAGATGCAGTGACACTGGTTTCAATACAAGATGTTCATTTGGCAGGTTCTGAGACTGGGGGAATGATGCTGATTCTGAGACTGGGGGAAGCACTACTACCCTGAATAGATCCCCAGGAATATACAAATGTCCTACTCAGCTTGGTTAAAAATAGCATATAGATTAACATTAGAGTGGTCTATCTGACCCAGATCCCCTCCTTGATAGAGTTCCTAACAACCTCAATTAGTTAAGCACACCCCGCCAGACTATTAACGTGAGGCCTTCGTTAGCATAACAATGGGCTAACTACCATAATACAGAGGGGTCTGGCACCAGTCTGAAGACAGCTATATACACGGGCAGTGGTGCACATAGTGTCATTGCAACTATAAAAAACACACACATTATAGTGATTAAGTATAGTTTGTGTTTGAAATATATAAATACCCAGACAAGTGGAACAGCCAGAGCTGGGCTAACACCATCAATCCTGCAAGTGCACTATTTCAGCCCTGATGGCAGAAGCCCCATTGGGGGCAGGCTGAGTATTCATACTCAAAAATATGTGAATAGTAGCCTTTCACCCATATCTATAACTAAAAAGATCAGACATTTTACAATCGGTGTTCTTTGTATCTCGTCATAGACTCTTTATTTATACCTTAGCTACCTGTCCCTATATGTGTAGGCATAATCATTTTTATTTATACAAAATTATGATAACTTGTGTGTATGACTGGCCTAGCCCTACTGTTCAATAATGGGACAACGAGGAGAGCTAGATCCTATGCAGAAATAACGGGACACTTGCGCATGACGCAACAGGTGCACCTCCTTGCATCTCTTTATGCACACGGCCGAAAGGTCCTCACGTACGTGGACGTTCAATGTGAACTTTTTACCTCCATGTAGGGCACAATCCGACATGAAAGGTCCCCTAGCAACCGTCTCTTGGTGAGCTCGTTGAAGACCACCACTGGCAAGCAGAAAAAGAGCACGAGGAAGTCCCAGAACGCCAGGCTGGCAAGGATGCAGTTCCACGCGCTCTTTAGGTAATAGTTGTGCCAAACGATACACATGAGCGCGAGGTTACCGACGATGCCCATGGCGAATAGGATGAGGGCCAGCAGCATCACTGCGTAAGCCCCGTAGGAGCTGTCAGTTACCGGATAGAGTGGGTTGTGGAGCAGCACCGAGCCCTTGGAATCTCTGTCTGGGGTGCTGTTGCCGGCCAGGTGTGCACTCTTGGGCGTGGTAAAGTAGCCGTCCGGGTCATACGGTCTGGGGTGTCCGTAGCTGTGGGGAGACTGCTGGTCCCGTTTTCTCGAGCTTCCATCCTTGGCGCCCCGGGGGACTCTCTTTGTGTTTGCGTCTGGTTCCTGCGACAGAGATTCGACATATCCTCCTCCAATCTGATTCAGATTCACCTCAGATTCTGACTCTCCGGTCCCCGTGGCTAGTGCATGTGCAAACCCGTCCCTGTCCTGGGTCCTCAGCGCCGTGTAACCAGAGCCGACATGTCGGGGCTCCGCAGCCCTCAGGAAAAGTACGAACAAAGCAAAAAGAGGAGTCATTTTGAGACTTGAAATATGATTGTCTTTTACCTTGATAGAACGTTCCGAGCAATGTAAGTAAATATTCTGAAAGTGTTGAGATTGTTTAAAAGGGATCACTCCATAAAAGCCGAAGTCAAATGTATTCACAAATAGTTTCAACAGCGTATCCAAAAATCCGTCCACCGGCTGGTCCTGATGTAGAAGTTGTGAGCGTCTGTCTGGCTCAAACTAGCATGGGCGTTATTCACTGATGCCCTGCAGATGGAAGAGACCACATCCGCCCTCTGGTGGCCTAGATAGGCGAGGCAAGGACCTCCAACCCTGTATTCAGATTGAAAGCCTAGTTCAGTTCAATCAAAGCAAGGCGATTCATCTTGGCCATATTTCCCACAAAAGTGGCAGAAAGCAGGCCTAAACAAAAAACATAATGTCCTGTGGACAGGAGATGTTAGGCAGATATATTGTTCAAAAGAGCAGTCTTTAATTGAATAGGCTTTTTCTTATGTCTTTCTATAGAATGTATTTATTATAGGCCTACAGATTATTTATTTACTTTAGAAATATCTTCACACTCCAACAGTGATCTAATTTTCCATGATGACTGAATTATTTAATGATGGGGTGAGAATGAGATGGGGTGAGTTACCCTCCATGCAACGCAAACAGCAATCTTGATTGGCATTTTATGGATGTAGGCCAAAGCCACAGACACCCTGGTAGAGACCTCAATTCCGCTGAACAGTTGGATAGATAGAAGTCCAAAGAGAAAGATGGAGAGATAGATTGAGGGATAGATAGGGGAGACCGGGGCACAAAGTAGCACTTTCAGTCCTTTTCTTATTTAAGAAAAGGTTATTTGAGTTACAGTGCCTTCAGAAAGTATTCACACCCTTTGTTGTGTTACAGCCTGAATTTAAATTGGATTAAATTGAGATGTTGTGTCACTGATCTACACACAATACCCTATAATGTCAAAGTGTAATTATGTTTTTAGAAATGTTTACAAATGTATAAAAAATTAAAAGGTGAAATGTCTTGAGTCAATAAGTATTCAATCCTTTTTGTTATGGCCCGCCTAAATAAGTTCAGGAGTAAAAATGTGCTTTACAAGTCACATAATACTTGCGGGGCGGCAGGTAGCCTAACGGTTAAGAGCTTGGGGTCAGTAACTAAAAGGTTGCTGGTTTGAATTCCTGAGCTGACTAGGTGAAAAATCTGTCAATGTGCCCTTGAGCAAGGCACTTAACCCTAGTTGCTCTGGATAAGAGTGTCTGCTAAGTGCCAAAAATGTTTTATAAGTTATATATACTCACTCTCTGTGCGATAATAGAGTTTAACATTATTTGTAAAATGACTACCCCATCGCTGTACTCCACACACACAATTATCTTTAAGGTCCCTCAGTCGAGCAGTGAATTTCAAGCACAGATTCATCCACAAACACCAGGGAGGTTTTCCAATGGTTCGCAAAGAAGGGCACCTATTGGTAGATGGGTAAAAAAAAAGCTGACATTGAATATCCCTTTGAGCATGGTGCAGTTATTAATTACACTTCGGATGGTGTATCAATACACCCAGTCACTACAAAGATACAGTCGCCCTTCCTAACTCAGTTGCCAGAGAGGAAGGAAACCGCTCAGGGATTTCACCATGTGGCCAATGGTGATTTTAAAACAGTTACAGAGTTTAATGGCTGTGATAGGAGATAACTGAGGATGGATCAACAACATTGTAGTTACTCCACAATACTAACATAAATGACAGTGAAAAGAAGGAAGCCTGTACAGAATAAAAATATTCCAAAACATGCATCCTGTTTCCAAAAAGGCACTAAAGTAATACTGCAAAAAAAGAAATGGAATAGAGCTAAGCACAGGCAAAATCCTGGAGGAAAACTTTGTTCAGTTTGCTTTCCAACAGACACTGGGAGACAAATTCACCTTTCAGCAGGACAATTACCTAAAACACAAGGCCAAATATACACTGGAGTTGCTTAGCAAGACAACATTGAATATTCTTGAGTGGCCTATTTACAGTTTCGACTTAAATCGACTTGAAAATGGCTCTCTAGCAATGATCAACAACCAACTTGACTGAGCTTGATTAATTATTTCAAGAATAATTGGCAAATATTGTACAATCAAGGTGTGAAAAGCTCTTAAGCCTTAATGTTCAAATCAGTTTTGTTTTTCAAATCAGTTTTGGACTACTGACTGTCTAAACAGCAAGTTACAAGTGACCAAATCAGATTTGTGTATGTTCAGACAGTCATTTGCTGGCATGGCTACTCTAGTTGTCATAGTAACAACAGGTGTGTGCACAGTGGTGTAGGCTGATTGGTGGTGGTGCTCGTGCTTCCTATTGCCCAGAAGTTATGTAGCAAGCTAAGGTGACAGCAATGCCTCCCTTGGATGTTTCCCAGTTGCTTTGAATGTAAAAAATTATAGTGTAAAAATACTTTTAAAGCCGCAAAGGATAAAATGTTCCAACTTTCAAAACAAATAATTTTTGGCTAGCCACAGCAGTCAACCAGCTAGCTAGGTAGCCGTTTAGCTTTCTTGCACGTTGACTAATTTATTTGTAAACAATTAACAAGCTATTTAGCTACCACATGTTCTTGTCAAACTGTCAACACAGTAGCTAGCAAGCAACAATATATGCCAAATAACAGTCTAAAAACCACTTCTTGAGGACAAATAAATCAGATTTGACCGTTCAGACACAAGTCACATGGCCAGGAATCAGATTTGTATCTGACTTCAAACCACCTACGAAGGTGGGTTGAAATGTGGCATAAAATATCAGATTCCATGTGCTTTTTGGCTGTTCAGACTGCAGGAAAAAGAACAGATTTGAATCGGAAATAGGATTTGAGTCACTTCAAACAGCCAATGGTGAACATGTCTTCAAGACTTACCCAGAAAGACTCACAGCTGTTATCGCTGCCAAAGGTGATTATAACATGTATTGACTCGGGGGGTTCAATACTTACAGTGGGGAAAAAAAGTATTTAGTCAGCCACCAATTGTGCAAGTTCTCCCACTTAAAAAGATGAGAGAGGCCTGTAATTTTCATCATAGGTACACGTCAACTATGACAGACTAAATGAGGAAAAAAAATCCAGAAAATCACATTGTAGGATTTTTAATGAATTTATTGGCATATGATGGTGGAAAATAAGTATTTGGTCAATAACAAAAGTTTCTCAATACTTTGTTATATACCCTTTGTTGGCAATGACACAGGTCAAACGTTTTCTGTAAGTCTGTAAGTCTGGTATTTTGGCCCATTCCTCCATGCAGATCTCCTCTAGAGCAGTGATGTTTTGGGGCTGTCGCTGGGCAACACAGACTTTCAACTCCCTCCAAAGATTTTCTATGGGGTTGAGATCTGGAGACTGGCTAGGCCACTCCAGGACCTTGAAATGCTTCTTACGAAGCCACTCCTTCGTTGCCCGGGCGGTGTGTTTGGGATCATTGTCATGCTGAAAGACCCAGCCACGTTTCATCTTCAATGCCCTTGCTGATGATAGGAGGGTTTCACTCAAAATCTCACGATACATGGCCCCATTCATTCTTTCCTTTACACGGATCAGTCGTCCTGGTCCCTTTGCAGAAAAACAGCCCCAAAGCATGATGTTTCCAACCCCATGCTTCACAGTAGGTATGGTGTTCTTTGGATGCAACTCAGCATTCTTTGTCCTCCAAACATGACGAGTTGAGTTTTTACCAAAAAGTTATATTTTGGTTTCATCTGACCATATGACATTCTCCCAATCCTCTTCTGGATCATCCAAATGCACTTCAGACGGGCCTGGACATGTACTGGCTTAAGCAGGGGGACACGTCTGGCACTGCAGGATTTGAGTCCCTGGCGGCGTAGTGTGTTACTGATGGTAGGCTTTGTTACTTTGGTCCCAGCTCTCTGCAGGTCATTCACTAGGTCCCCCCGTGTGGTTCTGGGATTTTTGCTCACCGTTCTTGTGATCATTTTGACCCCACGGGGTGAGACCTTGCGTGGAGCCCCAGATCGAGGGAGATTATCAGTGGTCTTGTATGTCTTCCATTTCCTAATAATTGCTCCCACAGTTGATTTCTTCAAACCAAGCTGCTTACCTATTGCAGATTCAGTCTTCCCAGCCTGGTGCAGGTCTACAATTTTGTTTTTGGTGTCCTTTGACAGCTCTTTGGTCTTGGCCATTGTGGAGTTTGGAGTGTGACTGTTTGAGGTTGTGGACAGGTGTCTTTTATACTGATAACAAGTTCAAACAGGTGCCATTAATACAGGTAACGAGTGGAGGACAGAGGAGCCTCTTAAAGAAGAAGTTACAGGTCTGTGAGAGCCAGAAATCTTGCTTGTTTGTAGGTGACCAAATACTTATTTTCCACCATAATTTGCAAATAAATTCATTAAAAATCCTACAATGGGATTTTCTGGATTTTTTTTTCTCAATTTGTCTGTCATAGTTGACGTGTACCTATGATGAAAATTACAGGCCTCTCTCATCTTTTTAAGTGGGAGAACTTGCACAATTGGTGGCTGACTAAATACTTTTTTCTCCCACTGTATCTAATCAAGACATATTAGTGTTTTATTTTTCATTAATTAAATGTGTTTATTTTTGCATTTTTCTTCCACTTTAACATTATATACACTACCCGTCAAAAGTTTTAGAACACCTACTCATTCAAGATTTTATTTTTATTTTTACTATTTTCTACATTGTAGAATAATAGTGAAGACATCAAAACTATGAAATAACACATATGAAATGATGTAGTAACCAAAAAAGTGTTAAACAAATCAAAATATTGACACACCCTGATCTGTTTCACCTGTCTTTGTGATTGTCTCCACCCCTCCAGGTGTCCCCCATCTTCCCCATTATCCCCAGTGTATTTAGACCTGTGTTCTCTGTTTGTCTTTTGCCAGTTTGTTTTGTTTTGTTTTTCCCCTTGCTCCTGTCTTTCTCAAGTTCCTGTTTTCTAGTTTTTCTGGTTTTGACCATTCTGCCTGCCCTGACCCTGAGCCTGCCTGCTGCTCTGTACCTTGTCACACCACCCTGGATTATTGACCTCTGCCTGCCCTGACCCTGAGACTGCCTGCCGATCTGTACCTTTTGGACTCTGATCTGGATTAAGACCTATGCCTGACCTTGACCTGTCGTTTGCCTGCCCCCTGTTTTTTTAATAAACTTTTGTTAATTCAACACTGTCTGCATC